GTATTTATATATTGCAATTCATATGTATTTCTGAATATTATCTCTTATCGACTCTTCCGTAATTTCCAGATTTTGATCCCTCTTAAACATCCTCCTACATCTGGTTTGGATACCAAAATCATTAATGTAATAAAGGGGTCCTTGAAAATGAAAATACATGATTTTCTAAGAGAGAAAGCTGCGTAACTACTTGTGGGTGTATACCATCTGGCTTTTGGGCTTTATTTAATTCATATTATTTAATTGCTGTATCACTTTATCATGTTCTAGGTAAGCCCATTTCACAATTGATAGGACTAACATTTTAATTCTTTTTTTTTTCTAACTATTACAAAGTACAATTCTAATACAAAGAAAGATCATCCAATTTTTTGGGGATACATTATGGATTCTCTGGGGTAAGATATTATTTTAAGACACTCTAAGACACTTTAATATCAAGAATTTGAGAATACTCTAACCTTTCTATTTTAGGAGAGGGAATTTAAAGTGATACTGTGACTGTTTGAAGACTTTGCCAAATTTGCCGCTAAGGGTCCGGAGGCACAGGTAAAGGTGAGCTTACTTACCTAAACCTGCGCCTCTGTGTGCCACCATTGTTCCAGCGTGGTCCTCCTTGACGCTGAAGTAACTGCTGTACTATTGCACATGCGTGAGAGTACAGCATTGAGATTTATGGGGGTCTTGTGGGATCCTCCATTGACACAGCTAATTCGCTAATTACTGATTACATGACAGCTGTCACTGATTACGGCTGCAGGGATTGCCAAGAAAAGTCAGACAGAGGAGAAACAGTAGTCTATACTTTGTCTTTGTATATCTCTCGACTGGGTTGGAATTTAAGTGAAATTCCAGCACAGTCATAATGAGTATTTCATAAAGATTCTATCTACTAATTCTCAAGGGGGCATGAGTGTGCATTTCATGGGCACTTATTTGTTCTTAATTAACCATACCAAATGAAAAAGGAACACTCCTAACAACATAACTACTACAGTGTAACAAAGCGGTTATGGTGCCAGGAGTGCTCTAGCCTCCCTGATGTAAGTAGTCAATCCATTTTAGAACCCTTTTAAGAAGAAGCTGCCAGGTGTGCTCCGCATCTCTCTGGAAGCTCTCTGTCTGGGCTAAGCCCAGCAGCGATGCAGGACTTAGCTCATTGGCCGACATCAATCATCTGACACTCTCATTAATGAGCCACTACATGGCTTAGCTTATGAGAGCTCAGGAAAGCTTCTGTTTATGCTCTCTGTCAGAAATAGCAGAGGTGGGAAAGTGTGCTGAGAAGACTCCAGGCAAAAAGTCAAACTGTTCTAAAATGGTTTGACTATGTAAAATAAGGGGCACCAAGCCACTCCTGTCACCATAATGACCAAAAGTTCCTGTCATCATAACCACTACTGCGCACTGTAATTCGGTTTATTTTACACTGGAATAAATTCACCACTCTAAAATGGCACTCATTTCCTGAAATATCCAACAAGATTACCATCATTACCAAGATAACTAACATGTATCTTTTGCATACTACCTCACAAAAGGTATTCTGAGGAGTGATATGTGTTACATAACCTACTTTTGTAATCCAAGTGCTGGAGCAGTGACAGTCAATAAAATATTTCCAAAATTAAAATATATTAATGAAAGACATAATAAAAGATGACATCACTAGCCTTAAACCCGTAGATAAAGGTGAAGGTGTTGATTATGACCCAAGAGTTTTAGGATTCCAATAACTTATTAGTAATATGTGAAATGACATCTCTATAAATTACTAATTCCACACCAAAAAGATGTCAATGAGCTAGAACTGTTTCAAAAAGCTCATGTAGGACACAACATAATCAGATACATTTTATTATTATGGGGGTAATGATTATCCTCCAAAACATGCCACTGGCGACATGATATAATAAGAGAATAAGTTCAAACACAGTCAACATTAATACTAAAACAGTATTATTTTATTCATATGATATATAATGTATTTCTCATATTAAGGTCTGAATATGTACAACTAATTCTGATGGTTTTTAAAAAATATTTAGTTAGGGGGTGACCTAAGAAATTAATCACTAAAATAACTTTCATATGTAAAGATATAAATAAACATTAACATCAATACCTAACATAGATATATTTTATAAAATGTTTACACTTAAATGGCTTATGCAGGTTCAGGTAAATTAATTAGGCTAAGATACAACTCGTTAAATGTAAGCACTTTTACAAATCTAGTGGAAAAAGTTGCTAGTGAGCTATCACCATGTGCTGTAATCACCTTGTTACACAAATCATCATTTACTTATAAGGATAAATTGACTCAATGCATTTCTATCTATCCCAATTGTGGAGGCGCCTAATGTCGGTCCGGCAATCTTTGCAGGACCTAGTCTAGGAAGCCCCATTACTGCAGTCTTTGTGACAGCCATTGGAGTTGGTCTTAGGATGCAATTTGAACACTGCCTTCTCTCAAAAAAAGGCAGTGTTCATACTGCTGAGCGTACAGGAATAATCTATTTGCCCCAGAACCACTATAGTAAACTTTCTGGGGCAAAGAGATTGTCCCTTGAAGAGCTGCCTGACAGGTGAAACGAGCGTCGGTGCTCAACTCCATATACTATTTTGTGGATGCTAATATGCAACAAATATTATTGTTTATAAAGCACCAGCAAATTCCGCAGCTCTGTACAATGGGTGGACTAACAGACATGTATTTGTAACCGGATGAGTGGACACACAGGAACAGAGGGATTGAGGGCCCTGCTCAATGAGCTTACATGCTAGAGGGAGTGGGGTAAAGTGACACAAAAGGTAACGGTATTGTAGAAAATGAGGTTGCTAGGACAGTATTCACTGATGGCTTGATGTATACTGACTAATGTGTGTGATATAAGCTTTCAATTACTTAGAGCAGGCTTCCCCAAACTCCACCACCCCAGATGTTGCTGAACTACAACTCCCCTGATTCTATGAATGAAATAGGCTGAGAATGATGGGGGTTGTAGTTCAGCAACATCTGGAGGGCCGGAGTTTGGGGAAGCCTGACTGAGAGCCTTTGCTAGTCAGTATAACTGAACTTTTCAGAACCATTTTTAGTCTATGCATTCTTGTTTGAGCACAAAGGGAATGACCGATGACTTGGCATGGATGTCATGATATAAAGGGTTATGCCTAGCTTATTACCACAAACGGGTTATTGGGCACAGGTGGGATTGTGAGCCTGTATGTAGCTTTTTATTGTAGTAAACTTCTTTTGCTATAGACTGTATTAGAAACACTGTAATTAATCTGTTACCATATCAATTACTTCATTCATCTTATTAAGTTCATGCTTGGTATTTAGCATTGGTCAATATATCTTACTGTTAGAGTAATAAACAAAAAATGTTTTTACTGCGCAAAGTCAAAATAACAGAATACCTGCAGATGTTTCACTTAGAATCATAGACATATGTAGGCTATTCACAAAGCTGACAGTTGTGTATAATTGACAAGGGAATTGCTTATCTAAAATAGAACATAGACAAAAATTACCAAATTGTTTCTGTTGTTACAACTGTTTTAAATATTTATTTATCGCATGTAAATTTTGGAGATGTCTTTGTAAACTGGCACTTTACAATAAATGTTGCATTGTATTTTCTGAGAAATATATATACATACAAGCGTATACATTTTTTTGGGGGGGGGGGTGGGAGGATCTTGGGTGAGTTCCCACATTTTTTTCCCCAGGACTTGACCTATTCTTATTAACCCAGAATAATCAGTCAATGTATCAGGAGCCTCTGAATCATGCATCTGCTCAACTTGTGGCAAAGGCTCTGCCCCCATTTGATTTGTTTTAAGTGTCCACTTTGATTATTTTGTTTTAATAAATAAATTAAAAGTTAGATTTTAACTACTTTGGGTAGTTATCTAGTTCCAGGACCAACTGCTTCATCTATGTTTCATTGTTACTTAGGCATTAGTATTGTAACATACATTTTTTTATCAAACAGTTATCAAGAAGTAATAACGTATACCTTGAATATTATTTATTGATATGCCCTTGTGGACTTCAATATACAGGGTCGATTCAAGAGTTCTTAAAAATAATTGTGAAGCATTATCACAGTATTATTAAAGGATATAAGAATAAGAAAATCAGAAGTCGCAAAAAATAATCAGATCACTCGTCGAAGACGCAACGCTTTTAAAAAAGTTGATAAAAAAATTAGTTTCAATACATTGATTCCAGTGGGACTGGATATTTTTTTTTTATTATTATTTTTATAATCTTTTATAATATTAAGATATGCTTTCCACTACATACTAATTTACATAATGTCTCATTAATTTCAGATCCATGAATATATTTTCTTTAACAATGGATGCATTTACATTTATTTATCTATTTTCATGTTTTGCATATATACATATAAGGTACAGTAAGTATGTTTTTGTACAGTTTTACTAAAGCTAATATTGAAGTTAACATACTAGTAATATATGTCTATACTTTATATGTATCATCTGTATTCTTAGTGAAAATTGCTTAATTATGCAATTTTACTACATATATATATATATATAGTGTTCTATTTGTCAGTATGCTCTTTTTTTTGTCTTAAATGAGCTTTATATAGTGGTAATACATTAACTTATTAGATTTTAATGCATGTCAGGACACAGAAATGGAATAGATTACTGTTTAAATAGGAGTACTCTGGTTATCTCATATAGGAACTTCTGACTGTATTAACATAATGTACTTCAATTTACTATACATTTTCACTTAGCAGAGAACAATACGTAGATGAAGGCCCTGCTCAAATGAGCTTAAAGTCTAGAGAAGGTGGGGTACAAATACACAAAAGGGCATTAAGGGTGACAGCCACCAAACAAGGTGGAAAAGTAGCATAACTGGAGGTGAGAGTGGAGTGTGGCTCTTTAGTAAAGCAAGAGACAGATATGGATTGGTATAGATAAGTTACTTTGGAAGACCATAAGTATAAGTCCATAGACAACTTCCCCCCAGAAAGTAAAGTGATATATATAACTAGATAAGAAGAGATATAAAAAAAACCCTCAGACCTATCTCTAAATGGTCTGAGATTTCTTTATCTATATATAGAAATCTCAGACCATTTAGAGATAGGTCTGAGGGTTTTTTTTTATATCTCTTCTTATCTACTTATATATATCACTTTACTTTCTGGGGGGAAGTTGTCTATGGACTTATGCTTATGGTCTTCCAGAGTAACTTATCTATACCAATCCATATCTGTCTCTTATATATATCTTTTTGTATATCCCTATGCTCCACCCTGTGGCTACAAATATTGTAGTACCTAGATGCAGCCACAAGGTGGAGCAAAATAAAAACAGGCCAATACTCCTGTATTGTAATATACTACTTAGATGGCAATGGATACAAATGCTTCAAACAAAATTAAAACAAATGTATCCAGTTGACATCGGTCAATTAAGAGGGGTGGATCGGAGGTCAGAAATGCTGGCACCCATGGAAGTTAGGAATGCCGGCACCCCAGTTGCATGTCATCCCTGTGGTTGTGCGTTTTGTTTTCTAGATATCTGATATATACTGAAAGCTTGTTTGAGCAGGGCTTTCTTCAACTCTTGGTTTTGTCAATACAATTTTGGATGTCAGTTACTTGTCAAACATTCCCATTCTAGAACTGTAAAGCACTGTGGGATATGCTGGCACTATATTCTAATACAATGATAATAAAACAATAGGCTGCACATAGTGCCAAAAATGGAGAACATCTCAGGGCTCTTTAAGAGCTTTCCTTCTACAAACCATGAACAAAAGCAGTCTCGGATGTCTTTAAGTAAACAATGGGTGCCCCTTCACCCACCAGATATATATTTATATAAACATATATAGTTATATTTCTCCTACTTGTTTCAGAGGATGTGGAAGTAAGGCAAGTACAAACCTCATGTTATCAAAAAATCACATGGCAATATAATCAAAATGAAAAATATTAAAAAGGAAAAATATAAATTTGTAGTCAAAGCAATTACCTTTATATAATATATATTTCCCTCAAATAACCATGTAGTGCAAAATACAAAGTAGAGGATTGGTTAGCACACATCAGTAATCAACATCACATAATTTATTGGCTCATTTGCTAAAAAGTCAAAGCAACTTTTTGATCTCCAAGAAGGTATTTGCCAGGTAGGACACGAAGACATACTGTCTTACACAGGATATGAAAAAAATCTTTTACATTAAAAAAAGAAGCAATTTTTGTTAACAGCTTGTCTTAGTTTGAATCAATAAACTCAAGGACCAAGGCATCATGCCAAGGTCACCTTTGGAAGACAGAAACTGTACATAGGACCTGTACATAGGACATTCTGACCCTGCAACTCTCAGACCTTGCCACGTACCGTGATCATTATAGGACATAATAAATTGTCAGAGATCAGATTCACAAACCATTTCAAAATTACATCTAACTCTTATAATTGACATAGTCAAAAGTCAAGATCAGAATCATAAATAAAAGTCACAAAGCATTTCAAAATGGCATTCAACCCAATTCTCCACTCTTGATCAGCTAGTCAAGGTTAAAGTCAAAAGTCATTGTCAAACATTTGTGAAATGATATAACTATGTTCTGTATTTGGACTAAAAATGCAAATTTCACCTTATAGAACGTTAATTGTTTGGATTATTTAAGTAACAAATATATTTGTACACAGCAAGACACACTTTTGTCAGAAACACATCTTTAAAAAAAAAAGTGAAAGACACATTATGTCTAACGTTTTTAGTAAATAATTTAGTTTATTAATAAAAAAAACATGTTTCAACATTTACATGTTGAAACAATCACACATAGAATATAGCAGATATCAATATAGTTTCTATTTTGAGAAAAAATACATGATTTTTCTTCTGGTATGTATTGGAAGATATAAGTAATACTGTTACAATATAGTAACAATCCCATTTTTATTTGGTATTTGGTATTAACTTTACGATAGAAAATTATTTTATGTTAAATTATTATTTCAGAAAGTTTAACATTTTGCTACAGGCACCAACACTACTTTCATATACAGTATTGTATAAATTAAATTATTATATTGCATTTTTGAGTTTGTATAATGTCTAAAAAAAAAGTCACGCATGTCGGAAGTCAAATGGCCTTTGCAGTTATCAGCAATGGTAGTGGTAGTTTTCCATGACATAAATGTAACATTTAGCGACTCGCAATTAAGAACTGCAGATGGAGATTATTAGAAGATGTTAAATAACACCTGGTTTCCATCCTAGACAATACAAATAAATTACCACCTGTCATTATCTGACTAGAATTACACCTGTCTCATCCAGGTGTAAAAAGTTAATTGTTGTGAATTCTCAATCCATCCTATATCAAAAAAATTAATTTCTATTTAAATCTATTTAAGCACTAAACCTTATTGTGGGTGATGAGCGCATTTGCTGAGTGAACCATTTTTAGCCCTCTGATGAAGTTACTATGGTGACACACATTTTTCTTGGTATACATCCAGTTTTCAGATGCTAAGTGATGGTAGAAATTTAGATGGATTTGGGTAGCATGCGTTCATTAAGGCAGGTTTGGACCAAGGAGAAATGTTTATGTTTATTTAGTGCCACACAAGCTGTTTGCATTTACTGGCTTTTTTTTAAACATACATGGAAAAATTTAGGGGGTTAAAGGATAAAAAAATAAATATTCTGGTTTTAATTAAGTAAGTGAAAGATTAAGATTGTTACTGCAGATGAGTAGAATACAGAGCAGATGTTTGGGGGCCTGACCATCATGGTAGAGATACGTGTTTCACACAGGCTTCCACACAATCTTTAGCTAAATAGTTTTCTACAACCCCAATACAGATGAGACCAGTGCAGATATGGCAACCAACTTGTCTCTCATCATGGAGGACATATAGCATGGTGATCTACAACCCAATCGGAGTTAATAAAAATTGATTGACAAAAAAAAATACAGAGCAGATACAAAAGGCATTAGTATCTCAAAATGGAAATGAATGACAAATGAGCTTAATACCTGGTTTGTAAATTATTTAACGGTATACTATTATGGATTGCTCAATGTCAAGCTACAATAAACAGAAACGTTAAGCACCATTAACTAGTTAAACACTCAGTATTACAGCTTCTATATTATGTTCTCTACTTTATAAAGGTAAGATATCAACCTTGGGGTTTTCCTGATTCCATAGTTTTCAATTAAAGTATTCAGATGTGTTCATTGAAATGGTTTCAATACTGTTTTCTGTTTTTTGTTTTTTATAATACTTTGATCATGTAAGGCAGGATTCTCAGAAGTGCACACTATCACCCAAGGCTTTACAAGTTGGAAGGAAAAAAAAAGTAGTATTGGAATAGTTGTAACATCTAAAAAAAAATATATATATAAAACATAAAGGAAAACAATTTTAACTCAATAAAAAAATGCTAGAAATCCAATTTAGAATACAGTTTATCTGAGGTACTTGTGCTTTCAATTTACACAAGAGTGACACTGGTCTTTTTTTATACAGTGGCGTGGTCTACAGAGGGCATGCTGTTAATAAACATTCTTTATTCTAGAATATTAAAACTGTGATTGCATTTATCGACAGGTGAATTAATTAGTCAGGAATTACACAGATGTCTGAAAGATAAGCAATATACCTTACACTGTTAGTGATTATGTGTTCATAGCACTGGCAGCAGGCGGCATTTAGATGGCGGGGCAGAAAGATTTGAAATGTTAATGTTCCATTAACTAGTAACCAATAGTAACTGTTCGATGACAGTTTAGCTTTTGAATTGTAGTTTATCTTTTAAAGGGTTTAGTTTTTAAAGTGTTATAGTGGAGTAATCCATTTAAGATGGGGTTAATGATGACTCTTTGAACATGGCTCGAAGTAATAACTGCCTGGAATTCTCCAGTCTGCAACTTTCTCTAAATTTATTCAGGACTTAGATGACTAAGCTTGTTGAGAGTGGAATCATTCTCAGCTGTTTCAGAGCCTGTCTTCCATTTATTAACCACTTAAGGACAACATGACGGTCTATGCCATCATGCCATACAAGGCTTTAACGCTCAGTGATGGCACAGAGCGTCATGCAACAAAGGTACAAGCAGGTTAAATCTGTTTTGTTACCAAGGAACCCCAAGTATCTTTCAATACCTGGGGTCCGCTCTGTCAGCTGGGGCCACAGTTAGTGCTGACAGATGAGCAGCGCTCGTACCCATTTAAATACCATAGCTGAGCGATCCTGCTCAAATGCAGTATTTTTAACACAGCCCCTTGCCTGCCAATTAAAAAAATGCACCCCTGGTATCTATTGAGTCATATTTAGTGGTCCCCAACTGAGAGATAAGCTGCTTATAGCCCCAAAAAATGGATTTAAATGTCACAATTAAAACATCATTTCCCTACCTGCATTATCCCAATTCTTTTTCAAGAAGACCCCCAAGGTCTTTTCGTAACCGGGGAGCTCCCCCTGCCTGCTTCCTGCTGCAGGTTTAGTGCTGGGCAGCTGGCATAGTGCCACTAGAGGCAGCCTTAACCCTGCAATGTAAACACTGCAATGATTTACATTCCAGGGCTAAGGGGACAGGGACACTGAAGAATGGTCTTAGTGCCTGTAATGTCCCTTTAATAATGTGTAATGTATACATAATGCATATCAAAAGAGCCATATATGTCCTTTAAAAAATTATATATGATATGTTTAGTGCACTTCAACAGAAAGGGGGAATCTTTAATGTAATGAACACATAGCAAAAGGGCCTTATTCACAAATGTGGAGGGATTAAACTGATCATCTGTCTAGTTCCTGTGTCTAATACCAAAACCCACTCCACCGGGCCCATTATCCATTAATATACCATGGCCGGTACAAGACTACCACATGCCAGGCAAAGACATGAGTAGATCTTTCTGCTGTAACTCAGTTTTTTCCAGCACAGTTATTTCTTAACAGTGGATATTTACTGTTTTTATGAAAAGTAGACTTATTTTGTAATGCAGAAGGTGCTACTCCAAATCCCCCCTATGGATGAGATTCTGTTGATGCATAGTTACTTATAGAACTGCGAAGACAAGAAATGTTATGATGGCCAAAACAATTCCTTTTTTTTTTTTTATTCTTTATTTTTGCAGTGCATGGGATAACGTACAAGCTTGCAGAGACAGTACACTAAAGTACA